TGCTTTAAGTGTTCCATTAATTCTTTGTCACTGAGAAGTCCTTGAAGCATTCACATTTGAGGAAAATCATATCGAAATACCTCTTCGGCAATTTTCTTACCTGTCACGGTCGTCATGGTTATTCGCTTGAAAGTTGGAAGAAACTATAATTATTTGCTTTGATGAGAAAGATGAAGATTTTTTCCCCAACCACTTACTCCAATCACACCTAAAGGGTTTGTAGCGCTTGAGGTCCATATATTAGGCTGATATTGCTGATGTGCACGCATAACCTCCGCAGTCAACTTCTCTTCCACATTTCTTTGGATTAAGTGAGACTTTGTAGTGCCATTACTCACATAGGGGAAGATAACTGGTTGTAGAGTCACCTGTAACGATGAATTTCCTAGTTATTATTAAAAAAGAGAATATTTAGCAAAGCTCCTCCGTTTTCTTTCCACTGATCGAAAATTCTCGCAGTATTTATAACAATTTGACCAGTACTAATGACAAGGATTTAAAATGACAATTGCGCAATTCAAACTACTCCATCAAAATTTACACCGAAAACTCACCACATAATGTCCAGCATCAGCCAAAGTATCAGCAATTTTGCCCATAAAGTTCATGTGGCTATATCCCATTTTTGGATTGACAACAAGAATTTTGTATGGTTTACATATATTTGAGAGTAGAAGTAGGAGCATAGGCAGCAACATTTCAAACTGAAACATGTGTGCGTAATAGTCTCGAGATATCAAATGTATAAAAAATAATCAGTCAACATTTTGAAAAGAATAGTATAATTACATGAACATAAATATTTGTTTTTATCAAGGAGTTAAATTTTCGATTCTTCATAGAATACACTAATGTTTCTAATGGTTTAATTATGATTTTGAATTTCAATCCACCATTTTTTCTAAAAGGAAATCAGAATTGCAACGACATTTTAAACCGAAAATATTGCATGGGAGATGCTTCGCTATTAAGGTGTATTATGAAAGTTGTTTCCTCTATCTTTAAGCTAAATGTACTAAAATATAGACGGCTTATTCGTACTTTCCAGTGTACCGGCACTTCGCAAAGTTCAGCTTCTGGTGAAAATGGCGACCGTTTAATCAATTAGTGCTTTAATGGTGGCGCCGAAAATCTGGCAAAAAAAAAATTCACAAGAAAAGAGAACATAGAAAATGATAAAAATATCTGGATCTTCTTGCCTTATATGTGTTGTAACGAGCTTGGTTTGCGAACACTAGGTCCTGCTATGAGAACAAGGTGCTAAAGCGATTTGATGTGAGAAATTGCCAAATCAAGTGATATACGCCTTGTTCGACACATATCATTTCATTTGGGACCGAATTCTTACGGGAAACTTTTAAGATAAGAAGAGACGTTAATTGAAATTTCTTTTTACTTTGAGCATTTCAACTTCTTGCTGCGAGTAGTTTTTTTTTTTTGTGTGCACTACGCCTATAAATGAGATTGGCATTGTGTTGAGAAACCGAGTGACTTTGTTTTCTTTGAGCGCTCTTTCAGTCGCTTCTAGTGAAATAAGGTTGTGTTGGATGAACAACTGCTTAGCCTAAACTTTGTCGCACTTGATGAACAATGATTATTTACTGAACGCACCCTCTATTACCATATGGGATTTGTCTCAATTTCCTCTGAAAAACCAATGCGAAGCTATTATTAAAATTAAAATTAAGAAAGAGAGAAATGTCTCAGTTCCCCAATTTACAAAAAAAGCATTGTACTAGAATGTCAATGTTTATCTCTGTGAAAGTATCTTCTGATCAAATTGTATTCAACTTCTTTTCTATACACTCCGATATAATTTTTACTAGAATGCTCAAATGTTTTATTTTTGCTTTATTTGATTGTGATCGAAGTGTCAGACTGCCAACTTCAATATTTCTACTCTGACAAGTCGATCACAATAAAATCAGTTACGCGAAGCTTCAAAAGTTGGATGAAGTTCAGAATCGTAATTAAGACATCGAATATATAGAAGATACCTGCAACAAGGCTTTGGGATTCATTAATTTCTCCATGATTTATGGATTTTTTCTATTTTATATTATTGGACAGCGGTTTTTGAAACAAGAATGCAGCCAACTACCTTCCCCTTCTATTTAAT